TTGCAGTGATTAGTTCCCTAACCAGACAGCTCCATGGAGATTTTTTGGGCATTCTACTTTCAACCATTTCTGTGTGTGAAGACATCTGCATTCAGGAGATGAATTTGATTTTTTTTCAGTTTTTTGCTCTTCCTTTGTATGGCCTCTAATTTCTTTTAGTTTAGTATTTTCTGTGTTAGCATTCTGCCCTTTCTGCAGCCAAATAGGTAAAATATGTTGCAGGGCAGGGAAATGTGATTTTGGAAGAAATCTTCAGGGAGAGTTTTCTGAGGAGCTGTCTATGTATCTGGAGGAGAAAAAAGTGACAATGTCCCCTCAGTGCTGCAGAAGCAATCAGTCTCCTGTTTAAGTTCCTCTTGGTCTGTGTAGTCTGGAGTGCTGTGGCAGGCTTCAGTCCTCTCTAGACAGAGGAGGAAAATGAGGCAGTGCTCTCCTACACAGGTCTGTATCCTCTCACTGCTGAGCATCYAGACACTAGAGGGACATCCTACTACTTACTGCTTTCTCCAAGTGTGTTGTGCATCTGTTCTTAAAGAATGTGGGTTGGTTGAGAGTCTTTTTCAAGTTCTACTGTCTAACTTGAATTATCAACAATTTTGAGTAGACCAGAATTGGGGGTGCAGTGGAGAGCCTTAACACTTTTAGATTTGTAAATGACGGACTTACTAAAAATGACAGCAAAAACACTTAGCTTTATCCTGAGTTGAGAATGTATTTTCTCCTCCAGAAGATGGAACTCAATCATGGAGTCAGAGAGCTTGTGTTCTTCTGCTRTCAGCAGTAACTTGAAACCTGCTGGCAAACTGTGTATTTTATCTGCTGCTATGGCATATGAAGACAGCTGGGTACTACCCACTGTTGCTAATGGCTCAAGTGATGGGTGTTTGTTCTACAGATGTTTTAGAAGTCTGAAATCTACTGTCAGAATTGCTGGGCCATACCAATGTGTAGCCTTGAATTTCTAAAGAAACTAATATGTAGTGTCAGGCAGAACTGACATGTCCTGCTTTCTTTAAATTGAAATTTTGACTTTGGTTAACCAGTACTATAAAGACATGAGAGTATGTATGTGTTCATCTTAATACACACTGTCTGTGCTTAAACATTCATTTTAAGTATATTTATATTTGTAAGTTTGGAACCTTCCTGTGATTTCATGGTATTCCAGGCTATTTTGTGTTCAATATAGTCTGCAGTGGAAKTGAATGCTTATTTAGATTCCTGTGTACTGGCTGCAGGATAGCTATAATACCCAACTAAGCAAATACTGATGTGGTAACTTTTGCACAGAAAGAGGTAGTTGTGAAAAATCTTTAGAAATTTTGCTGACTTGTGGATGTATACAGGAAACTAAAGTAAATACTAACTCAGATGTTAGGAAATGCAAGTTTTAGATACATTTTAGATGTGTGTTACTCTAGGATGTATTAAATCAGGGGTGATTTGACCCTATTACGTTGTTTCAACTTGTCTTTTAACATTGTGGGTTCATGATACATAACAGCCCTGATTGCTTRTGGTTTAAATCAGCATTAAGTCACCTAAGTGTGATTGGTCTCTTTAGAACTGAGATACTGAACCCTTGCTAGTCACTTCATGTAATTTTGTTCTTTTATATTTAGGGAGACTTTTCAGGATAATATTACTTTTTCCATTATAATAAGAGATCATAAAGTCGTGTGAACTGGAATTCATAATTGCAATCTGTGCATRTTCAACCAGCTAATTTTAATGTGATGCACATGGGTCTTTGAAAATGAAATTATGTCCTTGAACTGGGCTTTCTATGAGTAAAAAATGCAATATTGCAAAATCTATAATCTCTGAGTGGTGAGGAAAATGACTTGTGAAGAAATGCTTACTAAACTCAACATATTTAGCCTAGATAACAAGGAGACTGCAATATGCGATTCAATGGTATTTCGTGGCAGTATCTAAAAGCATATGTAGAGAGTTTGGAATGCATTCCTTAGATATGAATTAGAAATAAGATTAGGTTAAATTTTGATTAGATAACAGAAAGGCAGTTATCCAGCACTTGCAAAGTTTGATTTTGGTGTTAATCTAGGTTGTTGGCCTGCAGAGTGCAAGGTTTGAGTACTTTGGAGAGTTGTCTGGCTTTGTAGCTGGAGTCTGGCTGGAGGGTATTCAGMAATCAGTGTCCTCACGGTCTGCTAGAAGAGAGTCAGTGCCTTGAATCTCTTTACCGTGAATCTCTGCTGTCATCTTCACATATGAAACAAAATGAATCAAAAGCAGCAGCAGGGCTTGCACAGTGAATAACAGCCAATGCCTTTTGAATCTTTCAAAAGCCTGTAATTATTAAACTTTAATTCTTCTTGGTACTATAGTGATGTTGGACTAATGGGTTGGTGGGATTTGTGAGAATGAGTTGTGGGATGGTGGTGAGGAGAGGTCTTTCTTTTCTAATTTTTTGTTCCTCAGTCAGGTCAACTGGTGTGTTCTGATTAGTTTGTGGGGGAATCTGTTGTAAAGAAACCTTGAAGGTGTTGGGATCCTTGCCTTGGTGAGCTGTAAAACTTTACACTCCCATGCAGTCACCCACAGTTTCTTATCATGTGCACCCAAGCTCTGCCCTTCATCTGCTCCCTACAGGAGGGGAGGGGCAGAAATGCTCTTCAGGAGAAGAGACAGCAGAGGAACCCTGCACAGCAGGTTATTGCTGTGTGTAATGTGTAACAGTGAGAGTTTTTGAAAGGCAAATGGAATAGCATGTAATGTAAGTTTTCTTTTAAATCTTGTTTAAGTAATGGGGAGGTAAGTGGCTGGAAACAACATAGGARATTTCCTCTTAGTTCTCAGCACCCTGTGGATTGAATTTCAGACAGAAAATGGACTTTAGTATTTGTCAGTGAGCAGAAATAGGGTATGGACAACAAGTGACCTGTATATGGACCTTCAGATTTACCTGTATGTCCATAGTGCCTCCAAAGGCAGACTATGATCATGTATTAGGTCAGGAATATCCCAGRATGTGTAATGTGTGTGAGAGAGCAGAAACAGGGAAACAGCAGTGAGCAGCTTGGAGACTTTATGCAGGCTGATGGATGGGTGGAACGGTCAGTACAGGAAGAATGTAGGGCAGGATGTAGTTAGAGATAATGTTGCTCTTGCCCGAGCTGTGTTCCACCTCTTTGAGCTTTATTTTAATGCATCTCTCAAGTTGCATGCAACATTATTACTCTTCAACAAAAGGTTTTTTTTTAACTATTAGGAAAGACGGCATTTATACAGCTCTCTTGGTATTTAACAATACACTTCCCCTAAAAAAAACCTGAAAAAAATATTTAGGCCACTGTAGTTTCTTTATGTTGTGGTTATGATTCATTTTGACCATGGGAGGAGAATGACAGTTACTTGCTGCACAAACCTTTCCTGTGATTCATGGACTGCCCTTTGTGTCAGCCTTGAAGGAGGCACTTCATATGCTTCCTAGCAGGAAGGAAAAATAGTACGATCATAGTTACCAGATAGGATATGGAAACTGGGTGGGAGAGAAGGGAAGGGGGAGAGGGAAATGCTGATTATTCTGAAGAAAGTTGCAGGAATGCCAAGATTCTGTCTGCAGTATCCATTCATCTACTTAATGAAAAATGGATACATACCAAGCCTATACATAATTAAGGGAAACGTCATGACTGTAATTGCCATGTTCACAAAATAGTATGGCTTATTATGTAACTTCTTTTGTGTAAATATATCTTAACACTTTTCCTTTGTCTCCTTGATCCATCACTGTTTCATATGGTGGGATGCTTCTGTCCCTGAGCAATGTGTTMAAGATTTTGCTCTCAAACCGATGGCCACGTGCAATACTTTGTGCCAGCTCTCTGCAGAGACAGATTTTTGTGTTCTAACATAATAGTATAGTTAGTAACTTCTGCAGCGTACCAGCTTGCCAGATCAGAAGACATGTTCTTTTCTTCACAAAAAAAAAGTAATAAAAAAAGCTCTACTACAATTTGCTTCCTAAAAGTAGCAGCACAGATTGGCTACTTAACTGCTTGTAAAGAATTCTCCATCGAATGACAACCCCTAGTGCTGCGTGGCAGACTTCAGGGCTCTTTCTCATAGTCTGGCTGCTTCCCGCTGCTTTCTCTATACCTGGAAACTRCAGGGTAGGAATAAATGGGAGTAGCAGAAGTGGAAACTTAGGTTTCCTAACTTGCTAATTTCCTGCATGGATTCAGGGCTTGTGTCTGGCTGTCCTCCTGCATTTGGCAGTGTTTGGTGTGGTACATGCAGCTGTGTCAGGAATATACAGCTGTGGCTGTTGAGCCCTGTAGCATTTGCAGAGGGTCCTTACGCAGTTAAGCAGATGCACAGCAATGTTAGTATGGGAAAGCAGAGGTGTAGATGAAAGGAGTGAAATTGGGAGGAGTGCAGAAGAGAATAAAAGGGGATATGAATTACTAATCACATGACCTGTGTTAATTGATTTTCCCTGGCAATTAGAATTTTACTGCTTGAATCACCGATACTATCCATTCTTCCATTATTTCCTGTGTTATAAAATGCTGGCTCTGTTTTGATTTTCCTGTAGCTGTGTTTATTGGGGATAAGGGGTCTAATTATAGCTGTGAACTGTACTGTACTGAGAGGGCATTTAAGTTTCTTCTGACTATTTCTGAGGCAATGTGATGAGTCATGAAATATAACTTTTGCAGAAAATGTCCTGATTGCCTAATGACTAGGTGTTGGTAGATGAAATTACACATACTCTCTCGTTCACATGAAACCAGGGAAGTGTCTTTCTGAGTAAGCTGTTTGTGCAAGTTRCCCAAGAAATGTAAAACATTACAGTTGCAAAATGTGAAAAAAGGTATATGTTTGAGTAGCTTGAAAACACCTGCTGAGACTTACAAATGCTTTAGATATTCAGAGCATTGAGTAATTGTAAATAAAATATTTGTAAAGAAAAAATGCTGCCTGAAAATAATACAATTGATCACCCATGTTCCACATATTTTATTTTGCAGATGATGAGGAAGATATTAAAAAGATGGAAAATGTCATGTTAGAATATGCTAAAATGGACAGAGAACTTAATCATCATATAAAAGCATTTGAAGAAACCATAAATCAGGTAAATTATATCTTCTCATAAAGTTATGAAAGCATATCCTTGTTTTAATATTACCTTTTAAAAGACACAAATGTTACATTTAAACAGTACATAATTGGAAAGACAGCTCTTTGGCAGGTATAAAATACTGTACTGCCAGTACAACTATTAATTTTTTTCCCAGCTTGCTGCAGRGTGGCTGTTTCTAATTCCTTCCTATCAAACTCGCACCATTGGGAATAGGGGATGAGTAGTGCTTTGGGAATGATTGAGGACACTGTAGTTAAGACAGCCTCCTCTCAGGTGATGCCACCTCATGTGTTGTGGAAGATGGAAGTGCAGATGAGCAAGGCAGCTGATTTTGGAAACAAACTGATGGCCGTGGCTGCAGAGAACCGATATTTAAACACTCCTTCCCACTGCCTTCCTGCCACCTGACTTGGCTGGTGCTTGTAAAGGGCGAGCTCGCTAAGTGCTCGCTCAGTGAACGAGGGTCTCCTGTCCGTGAACAATGGACGGACAAAGGATGGACACTGGACGGACAAAGCATCGGCTCTGGCAGTGGCCATCAGGGGGCGCCGCGGCCGCGCGTTCCCGTCCCGGGCTCGGCGCGTTCCCGTCCCGGGGTTCGGCGCGTTCCCATCCCGGGGTTCGGCGCGTTCCCGTCCCGGGGTTCGGCGCGTTCCCGTCCCGGGCTCGGCGCGTTCCCGTCCCGGGGTTCGGCGCGTTCCCGTCCCGGGGTTCGGCGCGTTCCCGTCCCGGGGTTCGGCGCGTTCCCGTCCCGGGGTTCGGCGCGTTCCCGTCCCGGGGTTCGGCGCGTTCCCGTCCCGGGGTTCGGCGCGTTCCCGTCCCGGGGTTCGGCGCGTTCCCGTCCGGGGTTCAGCGCGTTCCCGGCCCGGCGGGAGCGAGCCGCGGCTCCCCGGCAGAGCCGGAAAGGGAAGGATCAGGTCCAGAGCGGGCGACCGTCGGTTTGAGCCCACATGGTGCCGGCAGAACTCGGGAAAACTTCCCAAGAGACCTGTTCTAGTGTGTGTCAGCCCAGAGACTTCTCAGCGTCGGTTTTGGACGGATTTCTCTAGAAAGGCAAAAGCACATCTCTGATTTCCCTTCAAGGTGGGAAATCTGTGCTTCCAAATGTTAATGTAGCAGAGCTTTTAAATTAAAGCTGCCTTGCTATTGCTTTTTGTTCTGTCAAAAGCAGTAAAAGGAGAGAAAAGTRATGCATTTTTTCACTGGCTCTGTTGAGATGCTTACATGGTTTTTCTGTTGTAGTAAGGTTTTTCTTTCATATTTTTTACAATCATCTGAGTCAGATATTTAACTGAAAAATCTTCATTCAAATAATTCAATATACATGTTTAAAAGGAGTTCAAAAAWATGTCTGCGTCAGCAAGCGTTGGACAGCAGTAAATGCAGGCACTGTTCCCCATGTAGTCTTTAAATACACAYTTCACCTCAGATGTCAGCATAATTGCAGACCTCCTAGTTTATATTGGATGGTTCAGAACTTTTCCCTTTTATTTGGATTATTCATRTTTTTTAAAGCTTTCCTAGTATRTCTTAACATAGTTCTCATCATTATWGATTAATGATGTATATCTAGACTTGAGTGAAACATAGTTGATTATAAATATTAAAATACCTGATGTCTTATTGTTGCAATAGGAATTTCAAGTAATTTTCATAAATGACTTTTTAACTTCTTTCATTATTTCCCTCTATCAGCAAGCATTTTTTTTTTTCAAGTTTAGGACTATGGAGAGCAAGTCTTTGCCTTCACCAGCAAAGCATTCAAATCCTGTTTACTTCAGATGCATCACTCAAGATATTTTAAGTTGAGCATGCGTAACTGCTTCACTGAAGTGAAGGTATTTTTGTGTGTTTAGGCAGGACAGTGATACATTTGTGATTTTTAGTATTCAATTCAGCAGTATCTGTTGTGTGCATATCTGTGGGGGTGTACAAAAATATACATGGAAGGGTTGGTTTTCCTTTTACCCCTTTTTTTTCTCTAATGTAGGTTATTCGTGTTGCTAAAACAGCCTCATTTCCTGTTATTTCAATCCTACGGTTTTAAAAATGCAGCTCCAAGATATTTAACATGTTTTAGAGTCTACATGGATTATAAATTTGGTAATGGCTAATCTGTTAGCCTCTAGCCACACTTCTCCTGTCTCTGCTTCCTACTTCACTCTAGGGAATTGTATGTACTTTCCCCTGCCAGTATCCTGAACAAATCTTTGTGAATGTGAAAAATAAACGTATATAACTTCAGCTRTAGAACAGAGTTACAATCTGTTCTCTGAAAAACAACAGCTCATGCTTTATTTTGGAGGCTAGCTGCATGCCATGCCTCTGGAACTGCACTGCCCATCTCCAGTTACCTGTCAGAGACAGTTTAAAATCTGCTTCTGGGAAACAGATACTGTTGCTGAATTTAGGGCTGCACCTGGAAGTAGCTGCAGAAAAAGSCTTGGGTTTAAAATAACCTCCACTGACTTGCTCCCTGGTTCCATCTGAATTCCTTACCTGAGGGCTTTCTCTAGGGAGTTGCAGCAGGTCATTAACTTTCACAAGCAGACTGATCTTCACTGACAGTGTTAACAGGATTTGTCTCCAGCTGCAAAACACATTTTATCTGATTATTTTGTAAGTTTGTAAGTTTGTAGGTTGATGATTTTTCTGGTCTGCAGTTTCCTCATGCAGCAGTGAATCTGAAAGTATGTTATACTCAGTGTTTCACCTTCTAACCACTTGCTTCTTGTGAAATGTCCAGCTGGAATTTCRGAAGATAAGGAGACAGCAGCAGTTAAAATTCCTACTATATTATTTTATTATGKGTACCTTTAAATGGCATTGACAAAAAGATATTGTCCAACCAAAGGATTGTAATGTAGATAACTAGAAAATAGCRTGAGATATAGTCACATGTTTTCTCAAAGCCAGTTTTTTTGTTGATTTAGGCTGCAGTAGGTGGAATGCAGAAAGTGAGACATACCAGCATCCTCTTCTGGTTGAATCAGCAGCCTGTTGAGCAAGAAATGAGCAATTGAATCGCAGTGTTTCCAACAATAGGCTGTGGGAAATCCTTTGTCTGTGGAAACTCCCTATGCMACTGGATTTTCTTGTACCTGTATAATGACTGGACTCCTGCTGCTGCTTCTTCTTTCATTTTTAACTGGTATTTTTAAAAGAAATTARCCAATATTCAAGTCCTTAGCATACAAAGTCCAGACACACTCTTGTTTTCAGTGTAACAACAGAAGATTAATGGAGCTGCAGTATCTTGCAGAATCTTTTAATGCTCTTGAAATGGACTCATGATTTGAACCGAGGCTCAAGTGTTCCSTACTCTCTGAGAGAGTTCTCAAGTGGCCAAAATGCCAGCATRTTGTGTTGTCCCCAATGTAGATTCTTTCATCCAGTATGCAGGAACACAATCCACGCAGAGTAAAGAGACTTGATTTTATTTCATAGTTGTACAGGAAATGGGTTCTAGGTGGTGAATCCATAAATTTGACACACCTTCAGTATGCCAAGTGCTCATTTTTATACACTGTGAACAATAAAATATCAGCATTTCCCATAAATAAAAGAACCTAAATGTGTAGTCATTGGCTTTGCATTCTCTCGTCTCCATGTAAAGATCCAGTGCACAYTCGTTTCACTGTGCATGCTCTGGGAGGAAGTGCCTTATGTGAGCAGGGGGGKATCATAGCCTACGGACAGGTATTTTACTGAATTTACTTAATGAGCAAAATGTTCAAGCAAAGTTGTTCTTGGCATTGTAGTTTGATTTATTGTGTCYTCCTGTTCTTGCTTCTTGGGTCATGGCTCTTGGTTCCTGCAGGWTTGGCTGTGCCCTCATTTTTCATAAGTTTATTTATTTTTCCTGTACCTTCTCATGGAACTTCAGTTCAACAATTGTGATAACTCACTCACTCCTACTCTGCTTTCTGGATTAGCAGGGATGTTGGTGATCTGATCACTCTTTTGGCTTTTCAAGCATTTGGTTTCTTTGGGTCTATAAAAGTTAAAGTAAATTTTCTGAAGTTGCCAGACTTCTCTAGATAAAATTAATTGCAATTTTTTGATGATCAAMCTAGAGAACAAGCAAGACAATTACATTATTCCCACCTCTCTTTTCTTCTCCTGTAGGGAAAGAGAATCTGGGACATTTTGGTTTTTTTTTGAAGATGACAGAAAATTGTTGAATGTGCTAGTGGCATCTCTGGCAAAGATTACTTAGGGCTTCCTTCTCTAAGTTACTGCTTTTCCAAACATCAGTTTGTCTTGCTTGAATCATGTCTACTTTTGCTGAACCTGAGTACTGGGACAGGATGAAATCCAAACCTTAGTGAGGTGGAAGAAACACATAGGAGACATATTTGAGAAAGAAAACTAAGAGAAGGAAGCACTCAGAATGAGAAGAGGTAGATAAAAAGGTAAAGGACATGGGCTCGGGAAGTCTTGAGGTCATGTAGATAGATGGGGAAGAGATTGGTTGAAAGACTGCTGGGAGGGAGGTGGTGTTGAGCTGAAGAAAAGGCAGAAGTATCAGGTATTGCATTGGTGCTTGGGTTTTATCCCTACTTCTGCTAAAGCTTTCCCACGTTGTTCTTGGTGAATCATGTCTATCACCATGTCAGGGRCTGCTGACATCTTTGCTTTCAGATCATCCTGCAAAGAAACTGATTTGAGCAATTATAATTGTAATTTAATTCAAAGCTAATTATAGTTTGAACTCAGAAAGTGAAATTAAAATGTTGTTGGTTGGGTTTTATCTGTAAAACTGCTACATACAACTGATATAAGTGTCTTGAGAGGACTTGAAGTCTGGATGTGTTGGTCATTCATGCCTGTGTGACTTCACACCTTGTAAAGTGTTCAATCTTGCTTTGCAAGATGATGAGTAAAGAGGCAGGAGTGCAACCATGTTCCTTATATAAGAGTGATTTTGTTTCAACAGGATTTGCAGGAACTACTCTTAGTAGTTTTTTGGGTTTTTTTTATAATAGTTC